CACTTTTAGGAACACGCTGTATCTACGCACTCTCCTTTCTTCGCTACGACTGGTGCCAACCATGAAAATCGAGACTTCACCGAGTTCATAGTGGGCTCCTGGGCAACATGGATCCCTGGAAAATCGAGATCACCTTTAGGAACACTCTGTATCTACACACACTCCTTTTTTCCGAATGACTACTGCCAACCGCGCAAATTGAGAAGTCACTGTAACTAAAGCGTTCCTCTCTTGGCAGCAAGCATGCAAGGATCTTCTAGATCAGTTTTACGGAACATGCTGTATCATCGCTTCCTTTCTCGATCGGTGCTGACTGATGCCAACCGTGCAAATTGGGAATTCCCCGATTACAAAGTCCGGTCCCCATTCGAACAAAGCATCGATGAGCCGTGCAGGTCGGATATTTGGAACACCCTGTATCCGCGCTTTCCGCCTCCAACAGGGACGACTGCTGCCAACCGTGAAAATAGAAAATTCACCAAGTTGATACTGGCACTGGGCTCCTTAGCAACAAGGATCCGTGGAAGATAAGGATCACTTTTAGGAACACGCTGTATCCGCGCACTCTCCTTTTTTCGGGACGACTGCTGCCAACCATGAAAATCGAGACTTCACCGAGTTCATAGAGGGCTCTTGGGCAACTAGGATCCCTGGAAAAATGGAGATCACCTCTAGGAACACTCTGTATCTACACACTCTCCTTTATTCCGAGTGTTTGCTGCCAACCACGCAAATTGAGAAGTCACTGTAACTAAAGCGTGTCTTTCTTCGCAGCAAGCATCCAAGGATCTTCTAGATCAGTTTTACGGAACACGCTGTATCATCGCTTCCTTTCTCGATCGGTGCCGACTGATGCGAACCGTGCAAATTGGGAATTCCCCGATCACAAATTGCCACCCCCATTCAATCAAAGCATCGATGAGCCGTGCAAGTCGGTTATTTGGAACACCCTGTATCCGCGCTTTCCGCCTCCGACGGGGACGACTGCTGCCAACCGTGAAAATTGAAAATTCACCAAGTTGATACTGGCACTGGGCTCCTTAGCAAGAAGGATCCGTGGAAGATTGGGATCACTTTTAGGAACACGCTGTATCCACGCACTCTCCTTTTTTCGGGACGACTGCTGCCAACCATGAAAATCGAGACTTCACCGAGTTCATAGTGGGCTCCTGGGCAACAAGGATCCCTGGAAAATCGAGATCACCTTTAGAAACACTCTGTATCTACACACTCTCCTTAGTACCTGTATAGCGAGAGTATGGACATAGAGTACAATAGAGTCGCAAAGTACTGGAGCGGCGATGAAGCCAATCCATGAAGAGGCGTTTCCGAGCCGCGTGTGCTCCGAAAATAGTGAACCATTTGTGAACCCAACGGCATTTTGTAACACGGCGGCTTATGGAGAAATCAAGAACTGCTTGTGTTTTTTAGGTATTTTTTAATTCAAACAGCATTAATTTTTGCAAATTTTGCTATTTAAAGGTAGTCAAAGCCATAATGAATCTATTGATGTATATTACTCCTGGATAATATTCATATTGGGATGTAATTTCTGACTTATACCAAGTGTGAACCAACCGGCATTTCTTATCACGGCGGCTTACGGGAAAAGCAACGACTGCCTGTGTTTTTTCGGCATTTTTTAATTCCATCAATATTAATTTGTGCAAATTTTGCTATAATTTGATAGTCAAAGCCATAATGAATCCATTGATGTATATTACTCCTGGATAATATTCATACAGGGATTTAATTTCTGATTTATACCAAGTGTGAACCAACCGGCATTTTTTTACACGGTGGCTTATGGAGAAATCAACGACTGCTTGTGTTTTTTCGACTTTTTTTAATTCCATCGGTATTAACTTGTGCAAATTTTGCTTGAAATAGATATTCAAAGCCATAATGAATCCATTAATGTATGTTACTCCGAGATAATATTCATATATGGACTCAATTTCAGACTTATTACCGGCCTACTTATTTTAGCTGGTTCAGTGTGTGTCTAGCCGACGAACGGAGCCGAGTCGGGACTGTCGGGACTTCGGGAGTGGGGAGCGCTGAGCGCGAGTCTCTGCGTATGCGTCATCGCTAGTCGCCGCACACTAGTCTCCGGAGAACTGGACAAAACAGCCTCGAAAAGTGACTTCATCGGCGATCCAGTACTTTGCGACTCTATTGTACTCTATGAGTATGGACAGATGTGAAATTCCGAAAATCCATCAGGCCTTCACCGATGCTTCGGCGAATAAAGGTAGGGCCCAGAAATGCAGCCAACCTATGAATTTCAATTATCCAGAACGATTTACTAATACTATTGTTACGAACCGTCGTTTAGAAAGCACGTTTTTGACTCAGTTTATGCATAAATTTACTCCTTTGTGCGGAAGAACGCTCATTTCTGTACATTCTTGACCATCTCGGTTAGAATTAGAATCTGCAGACTGACGGCGAAATTTTGTGTGGTAGAAGTTGATTATAGGGATGGCTGCACTTTTGGACCCTAAGACCTCCATGAAGCGATCTGTCCATACTCTCGCTATACAGGTACTTTAATTTTCTCCTGCTGCGTCACGCAATTTGAATTATTTGCCCCTAACCCTCGCCGGAATAGAAGCAAGGCAATGTGGGGAAGGGGAAAGAGAATCGGAGTTTAATGTATCTATAAAAAAAAACTCATGCTATCTCAAAATTTAGTTTGTTGATACTACTCCTAGGATGTACTTATTTTTAAACATTCCCTGTATTTTTCTCCTAATTACGGAGGTTCCAGCTAAAATCAAGTGGGGGCGCACGTTTTCTCTTAAATATTTTTGTGAATTTTCGCAGTGATATGTATGACGAAAATTTTTAAGTACCCATGGAACATTAAGTTGTTAGATGAGACTTTGAAAGCTTGCAATACATTTAAGCTCTTCAATTTTCCTGATTTATTTACCCAATTATTCGAGTGACGCAGGCACCATGGTGATTTCTACCCTGGTAAAAAGTGGCGAAAAGAGCTGCGTTTCAAAATACCATAGGAATTCTTATAGCCGGCTAAGGAAGGCTATAGAAAATCATATAGCTGGCTGTAGAATGCGGAGAAAATCATACGGCCGGGCTATACGAAGCGATAAAAAATTATGCAGCCGGGCTACAGTTCCTATCGCCGGGCTTTACACTTTATCACCTGGCTGTTGCTTTTTCGCCATCAATTATAAAAGGCTATAAGAAATCGTGTAGAAATTCGTGTGCTTTGGAAATCATTCAGTTTGATGCGGAACTACCTTAATATTTACAAAACACACATTATATTTTCCTTTAATACATATTTTTTTCATCAATTAAAATGAGAATAATCCATACAGGATGTGCAAACATTTCAAAATCATGAGTTGAATAACGCTAAGTCCGCCAGATATTAGACCCTAACACAAAGCGGAGCGGCGACGCAGTGGCGCCTACAACCCTAACAGGGATACTTCACGCATTGCGCAACGCGTGAAGTATCCTTGTTAGGTTTGAAGGCGCCAGTGCCTGCCTGCCGCGCCGCAGCGTGCCACGGCGCTTGAAGCAACTATTTCACACCAGAGGCATTGCACAGTATCATACGAAACTGTAGGCGCTCTAATATATTAGGACTGGCAGGCATCCATCAAAAGTACGGAGCTTTCCTCGCAAAATAAATCAAGATACTACGGCCCAAAATAAGGAATACCTTCAATTTATTACATTTTATAACTGGACGTTTTAAACTTTTTTTAACAATTTATTTTATGCAAAGCTTTTGTTATTTTTAAATCTCCACCCTCCAACAAACTAAAAAATTGGATAATTTTGTACTCTTACAATTCCGAAGAGTCTCCACGTCTTTTGAATCGGACTACGGATGTTAAGGCACCTCTTACAAATGAAGTTATCGCACCACTTTATTTTTCAGTCGGACTCGGAACATTCCTCAAAGGAACAACAATATGTGTCATTAGTTTCTTCATGTAGACACGTCAACGGTGGATCTCTCAAACCACGTATCTCGGATTGAGACGTTGCAAACATCCTGTCATTCTTAATTTTTTAAATGAAAAACCACCCAATGTCAATTCTTAAAAACTTTGAGAAAATTCTTTGAAAACTGCAAGGAATGATTTTGATTTGTTTCGCTTTAAAAAAAAAATAAAGCAGGAGCGGAGATTTTTAAACATCGCAAACGAGATGCGTTGTTTTGGAGTTTCACTGTCTACGAGTTTCTATGTATCGGCCGAAAAAGTGGCTCCACATTACAAATTGTACCTTAATACTTCATTTAACAGGGTTGTCATAGCCCGGGAATACCAGGAAAATCTGAAAATGTCAGGGAAAATGACGAAAATGTCAGGGAAAAATTACTAGGTCATCTTTATTTGCTTATTACAATGAGTATGACATTTTGAACAACAAATTTTGCCTGGAACCTATTTCTAATTAGATTACATCTTGCAATAAGGAACCACTATTTTTGGTCCATTTTAGAAACGACATACAGGCGTATGTCGTTTCTGCCGTACAGTATAGATGTCTGCTTTTATGGGAGAACCAGAGATAGTGGTTCCTTTTTGCGAAATGTAATCCAATTATGTCTTTTTAACCATCTTGTACACTGGAAGAAGAAAAAAACACATTGGATCTAGAGTCCAGACTCTTAAAAACATCGACAAGAAAAAGTACTCTTGATTCAATCAGAATCTAGCTTAAATCAAGAACCAAGCCCCTTAATTTAAGCGGATTTCGTTTTGATTCCAGCAAAAATCCGATTGAATCGACAGCATTTTTTCTTGTCAAAGTTTTCAAGAGTCTGGACTCTAGATCCAATATGTTTTTTTTCCAGTGTATATCTAAAGTTGTCAGGAATTTCACCAACATGTGTCAGGGAAATGTCAAGGAAATGTCAAGGAATTTAATTTTCTAAATTCCGTGGCAACCCTGGTTTACTTTGAGATCCGGGCTTACACTTATTTCAGTCTGACTTGGCGATGCAGTGCTTGATTACGAGCTGATTATGCAAGGCAGTGCACTGGCCGTGTGCAGCACATGCGGTCTCCCCAGTGACTTACCTACCTAGTCTCGCCGCGCGCCGGCTGCCATCAGTGTCATTGGAATATCCTTGCGAGCTGATCGTCAACTGATCATAGGATCAGTGCAAGTGAACACCGTGCCGCTCCAAGTTCGACCAGGATCGCGTTCGTTGGACGTTTTGTGCTTGTTTCTGTTCGTTCTGTGTCGTGAAAATGGGGTTTTTCACGCGATCGATAGTCTACAGTGTCGTGTTCGCTATCTTCGCTGCGGTTCTCGTCAACATTCCCAACCTGCCCCCCGACTCGACTTTTGAAGAGTTCCGGTGAGTGTCAGTTTCATTAAAATCGATGGTGAAAAAAAAAAGTTCCGTTTGATAGAAATACGTCCAACTAATACAGTTTGTCAAACCAAATTTCCAGTTCGTCAAACCTAACTTTCAGTTCGTGTAACCGAACTTCAATGGTAAAGTGAACTAACGAACAAAGTTCGATCATATGAACCGAATATCCGGTTACACGAACCGAACGTTTGGTGTTTCCATATCACTCCAACTACTCGGTTTGTCAAACTGAACTTTCGGTTCACGTAACCGGATATTCGGTTCATATGACCGAACTTTGTTCGTTAGTTCACTTTACCATTGAAGTCCGGTTTGACGAACCGGAAATTTGGTTTGACAAACTGTATTAGTTGGACGTATTTCTATCAAACGGAACTATGTGCATCATGACGTGAGCCGTGTTATGTATATATTCGTATGGGTCTCAGGGCTCATGTCTTAATGCACATAGTTCCATTTGATGGAAATACGTCCAGTTGGAATGATGTGGAACACCGAACTTAGGCGCATGCGGCCGAACTTTTTTTTTTCAGCGTGAAAAATCTTGTAATTGGAGTGTAGTGTTTTGAAATGTCCCTTCTCCATTTCGATTAGTTTTGTGGGGGAGGACAATGAAAAGTATTTGTAAAGCCTAAAGAATATCCCCTTGCTAAAAATTGGCTGTAGGAGCTGCGTTTCAAAATACCCTAGGAATTCTTAAAGCCGGCTAAAGAAAGCGATGGAAAATCATAGCTGGCTATACGATGCGATAAAAAATTATACAGCCGGGCTATAGTTCCTATCGCCGGGCTGTACAGTTTATCGCTTGGCTATAGCTTTATCACCATCGGCTGTAAAAGGCTACATGAAATTGTATAGCCGGATATAGAAGCTATAAGAAATCTCACAACCGGCTATGTGTTTATGGTATTGTGAAACACAGATCCTATAGCCATTTTTACCAGGGTCTGTGTGAAGAGCGGAGAAACATCAACATTTTTCTCAGTTTCCTACTCTTTAACGAGGTGTCTCAAGTGGTGCAGGTTGCGATAAATTGCAATTACATGGTAAAATTACTATTGCTTTTGCATCGGAATGTTGTGTATTCTGTTTTCGGACTGATTGAAGGGGTTTTTCTCATTAGCATTTCTTGCCAATGAAATTCGAATAAATTGCGATTTTTTGTATTGCCTACATATTTTATACAAGAAATTCATTTTGTTGATTGTTTCAAAGCGGCATTTATCGACCAAATTATGTAAAAATTCTGCAATTCAAAAAAATAGTAATCGTGTTGCATTAAATTGCAAGGATTATTTCAATCCTTCAGTTGCTCTGTGTGTTTTAAATCAAAATAAATGCTCGATCGAGTTGCATGTGAAACAGTGGCTTTAAGCTTATTTTAGTGCCGGCCCCCAGTATGAACCACGATCAGAACTGTGAGGGGAGGGGGAGGGGGAAAGGGGGGCAGATCTCGTCACAGACGGATTAGCTGAGTAAAAAATGGGAACGTTCACGATGGACCGGTCTAACAACGCCTTTGAAAAAAAAAGAGAGAGGGGGAGAGGGCAATATAGGTAAGAGACTCTGGGGGGGAGGAGGGATAATATAGATACGAGACGCTGGGGGGAGGGGGTAAAGTTGGACGGCCGACCGCGACGATGAAGATCAAGGACCGCGATTGCAATAAGGAAGATAGTAAAAAGTAGCTTTGATTACTTCCAACTTTTTTTCTCTTCTTTTTCAAAATATATTTTACTGGACAAAATTCTGTTGATGTATGTACAGACTTTACGAGTCTTTTTACATTTCCCGCTATCAAAAAGCCTCGTGTTTTCCTCTACCTAAAATCGAGGTTCCGTGAAAAATGCTCAGCATCTCTGGAAGGATGCAGTGCGATGAAAATTTTGAAATAAAATTCCAATTAGTTCCGATAAAATTGCGATTTTTTACCATGAAATTTCAGTATTTTGACATCTTTTAGCCACTGCCGTGTTAAGGAAGAACGCCATATGAACATTCGAGAGTTGCCAAATCGCCCTGGATAAAACATGCATTCTTCAGAACAGTTATGCGTAATTTCCTTGAAATTTTCAGACATTTTAGACGAAATTGTGAACAAAGTGTCTGGAAAAATTGAAGAAAAAAATTCACGATTTTCCCAGCAAATTAAGGTTTTATTGAAGGAAATTTGGCAGTGTCTGAAGGTTCATACGGCGTTATTTCTCAGCACGGAAGAATATAAATGTATATTTTAAACGGTCGATTAAGATGAGCTCCACGTATCAGAGAGGTACCTAGGCAATTTGGCAAAAAAAATTACAACATATCTTAATTAATTGTATTACAATAAATTTCAATAAAATGTGCCCCTTCAGCTAGTGGATAGGCAATATACACAACACTCCGATGCTGTAGCAATAATTTTACCGTTTTACTGCAATTCATTTCAATCTGCGCTACTTGGGATGAAAGACTTTGACTGATAAAGTTTAATTTTTACATAGGATCTTGCACAGATTTAAAAGTTCAAGCTTTACGGATATCTTGTACGTTTAAGTCGGCCTCCTGTAGTTTAGTGTTCGTTGCGCTGTGTTCACGACTAATAGGTCCTGGGTTCGATTCCCGGCCAGGTGATCTGAGTTTGATGGTCTCAGGCAATCAATGGCATGGGTTACTATGCGATACATTGATTGATCTGTCTTTCAAACCTATAGAAAATGATCGATAAACAGGGTGTTCACAGCGAACCACATTGAATTGATTCTTTACCACAGCTTCAAATGGGGGACTATCGATAATCGATTATTCACTCCTCACCACTGCAGGCAATGGTCACTGGACCTGGAGTATTGAGCGTGGAAGTAGCCCTAAGGACCGTTTGAAAATCGGTTAAAAAAAAATAAGAAAAACAAACAAACAAAAGGTCACTCGGTTCTTTCTTGAGTCTCGTTACTTGCCACTCAAATTATTTGGTCATGAGAAGCTATGTATTTTCCTTAACTCGGGTCGTCTAGTGGTTCAATGTTGAAAGGAATTCAATCAGAGGCGAGGCATGAATGATCGATTATCGATATTTCCCTATTTGAAGCTATGGTAAAGAATCGATTATTAATGTGTTCGTTTCGAACGGCCTGTTTGCCGATCCTTTTCCATAGGTTTAAATGACAGATCAATCGATATACCGCAAGATACACCTAGCCTCTGAATTCAATTCATTTTGTTGTTGCCTCCTTGCACTTAAGTACCTACGAAACCATGGGCATTTATGTCATCTATCGGGGTCAGACTAATAGTCAGCAGCACGCAAACATATAATTGGACGCCATTTTGCAACAAAGAGCCATTATTTCTGGCTCATCCATAAAAGCAACAGACAGATGCTTTGATCTGTACCTACATATCATTTCTTACGTTTTCCTGATCATCTTAAGGGTGAAGTAATACTTTTAATACAAAGTAGAGTCTCGATAGTTCGCGGTTAATGGAACCGAAGCAACCGCGGATAATCGAGAATCGCGTATAATCCAAAACTAAATTACCTATTTGATAAGGAATGGTGATCAAGAAAACTGAATTTTAAAATACTCTATTGAAAAATTTGTCGAATGGATTACATTTTGTAATGAGGATTAAGGAACCACTATCTCTGACTCTACCATGAAAGCACCTATCTGCAAAGGGAAACCAACGGCACGTGTGTTGTTTCTAAAAGAAGTCAGGAATAGTGGCTTTATTGCAAAATGTGGTCCAAATAATAGATAAAATGTGATTGATAGTTAAAAATGAATAAATTTGACCTTTTAATAGGTCATTTTGACAAAAATCATTTCCGTGGGAATTTTTTTCACAAAAGGTTGCAGCATGTAGTTGCAAAATACCTGAGCTGCAATCTCTTTCATATGTTGAAAGAGAATTTTACTCAGAGTTGAATAGATCGATCTCCTATTTTCTCGTACCCCATGAAAAGAGTCAGCGAAAAAAATCGCAGGTATTCAAAATCGCGGAAAGACTCTACTGTATCCGTTTGACTGGTAATTTCCTGGGTTAATTTTTCAGATTTGCACCTGTGCCAGCGTTGGAGGGGCCGCTTGCTTTGAACGATGCACTGAACAATGCGGAACACCTCTTCGTTGGCGAGGCTATTGCCCCTGAGGGTCTCGCAATCCATAAAAACGTTCTTTACACTGGACTCGCAGATGGCCGAATCGTAGCCCTGAAAAACAATAAGTTGGTGACCGTCGCATCCTTGGCCAAATCATGCGGTAAGCACCCATCGTAATACATTTGGCATTAGTTTATTGTTGGTCTGAGTATTAGTTTTTTTTACATAATTACTTTTTTTTAAAAATTCAAATTTTGCGCAAGTCCAGTCCACACTGGGAAAAAAAACACATTGGATCTAGAGTCCAGACTCTTGAAAACAATGACAAGAAAAAATACTCCTGATTCAATCAGATTTAAGCTTAAATCAAAAGGAAATCCGCTCAAATTAAGAGGTTTAGTTCTTGATTTAAGCTTAAATCTGATTGAATCAAGAGTCCATTTTCTTGTCAATATTTTCAAGAGTCTGGACTCTAGATCCAATGTGTTTTTTATACCAGTGAGCTTTTTAAGAGACCTCCTCCCCCTCCTACAATTAAGATAATATCATCGAGGGAAACGCTTGAGATGTTTTGCGAGGAAATATTATGGTTGGGCTGAACCTTTAGTTTCTGCACGGCTAAATTTTGCATTAGAATATATAAAGCCGTATATTGCAGCTAAGAGAGGTCAAATTTCCACAATTTTCCAGGGACCCCCCCTCCCTCCCCCAAAATCCCCATTGTAAGACCTCTCCCGTTGACGTGAAAGAGCAAGCAACCCTCTGAAAAGTGCTCCAATCACATATAGGGTTCAGTCAGCATTTGAGGAATTCTTTGCAGAAACGACGCTTTGTGTGTGCAACCACGTATGTGTACTTTGCAAACCGATAAAAAAGTACTTCTCCTACCCGGGAGGTAAGCGAGAAAGTAAAAACTCATGCTATTGATTTTTTTTTCAAGAAACAAATAAGAGAAAAGACAAGATATTTTTTTAGAGAAGGGGGGAGATTACAGAGGGGTTATCGCTCCTCATTAAATAATCAAGTACAATTTTGCATTTCTGAACGTGATGCATAACTTACATCGTCACCTTCCAGGCAAAGTATCACAAGCGCCATGCGACGTTTAAAAATTTCCGCCGCCATTTTATTTCTTTACTGAGAAATTGTTGGTTGAATCTGTTTGGAAATTTCACTAAATTTTATCGGCAGCACGAAGAAAATTCAGTGAAATTTTCGGACAGCTTTGTTGAACAATTTCTCTGTAAAAAAATAAAATGGCGGCGGAAATTGTTAAACGTCGCATGGCGCTTGTGATACTTTGCCTGGAAGGTGACGACATGTTGATCACTGAAGAATGGTTCAAATGAACGGTCGGAAGGCCATGCTTGCTTCGGCAGTCGAATATCATTATTAAATAGTTGTTTTCGATCGATGTGATGTTAATTTCACTTTCCTCCCAAGACGTCGCGTCGCATCAACAACGAAAACAACAACAACAGTCGTTGTTTGACGAGTGGAGAATGAGAGTGGAAATCTTGGCTCTTCAAAATAGAACTGCCCTGCGGCCGCGGTAATTGCCAAGCATAGAGTACATAGAGTCGTAATGTAAATGGGAGAGCTGGCGCCATGTTCTGCTCGACGAATTCCGAGCCCGGTGTGCGTCGAGTTCGGGTCGCTTTTTCGATACATTTTCGATCCAAAATGGCGGTGTGGAATACGTGGTAATTCCTATCTCCGTTGTTGTTGTTGTTGTCATCGGATGGCCGGGTACCCGTGTATCGCAAACAATCGATTATGTATCGAAAAAGTGACCCGGCGTCACACAGGAGTCTCGGAATTCGGGACATGGAAAATGCTTAAAAGTGGCGCCAGCTCTCCCAATTACATTACGACTCTATGTACTCTATGTTGCCAAGCGACCTCTGTTCTGCCGTGCTGAGGAAAAACGCCGTATGAGCCTTCAGGCGTTGCCAAATTTTCTTTAGCAAATCACTGATTTTCAGGACAATTTTTTACTATTTTTTCACCAACTTTTCAGATAATTTGGATTGAAATTTAATCCTAAGTGTCTGAAAATTTCAAGGAAAAATATTCGTAACTTTCCTCAAAAATAAACGTGTTACCTAAGGAAATTTGGCAACTCTCGAATGTTCATACAGCGTTCTTCCTGCATAAATGCGTTTCTCAGATGCGGTGTTTCAAAATCTCCACTCCTATTTCATTTTTGAAAAGGAAACCGAACCAACATCGCGGCTTGAAATGTTGCACAGAATATCCCTGCTAAAAATGGTGAGTATAAATGAGTAGAAAATCAAAGTCATATGAATAGAATTTTAATTCATATGAATAGAATTTCGACTCATATCAATCGAATTTCAACTTATATGAAAAGAAGTTAACTCATATGAGCAGAATTTTGCCGACTCATATGACTAGAGATTCCAACTCGTATGACTAGAGATTCCAACTCGAATGACTAGAGATTCCAACTTGTATGACTAGAGATTCCAACTCGTATGACTTATAGAGATTCCAACTCGTATGACTAGAGATTCCAACTCGTATGACTAGAGATTCCAACTCGTATGACTAGAGATTTCAACTCACAGGAGTTCAGCGTTGAATCTACCGTGTCCGATATCTCAGAAACTAGTCATCGCATCAAAAAAATTCTAAGAACAAAATGTTCTAATTTTTCAAATTTACACATCCTGTTAGTTTCGCCTAGTCAAAAACACCACTTCTGAAGAATGAAAAAAATTGAATTCATATGAGTTGAACTTTTCTACTCTTATGAGTAGAATATTCTAGTGATATGAGTAGGATTTCTACTCATATAAGTAGGAAATTCTACTCATGTGAGTCGGCGAATTATGAATGGCCTATACTCATCATTTTTAGCAGAGATACTCCTTATAGAGAAGAGAAGTCGCCGCTGTTTCCAAGAAACAACGTTTACCTGTGCACAAAATTAAGTATTTAAAAACAGAATTAAAAAATTAAAAAAAACAAATTTGAAAATTAAGTATGACAGAAGGTAAGGTCTGCAACGCCGCGAACCGAGATGCACATTTTCTGCAATTTCACCATCAATTAAGTTAATCGATAGTGTATCGAGAAGTCATTGATGAAAAAGCATAAACGCGAATCTCGATTTGAAGCTGCAGTCTTCCTGCCATAATTTGTTTTCGAAATGAAAAATAACGTCATTTCATGAAACTCTGCTCTCCGATTTTTCATCTCTGTGCGAGGAATATCCTGTTAAAATACCTAGCGATAGCGTTAGTTTTTTCTAGTCAGATAAAATGTAATCGTAGCGGAGGCTTTGTAACACTGCGATTCGCGTTTTTTCAGCTCTACCGTCAAAGTTTCCACCATACTTTTATAACACTTTTACACTTTTGGCGCGTATACGTAGTATACCGCCTTTGCGATCGTTTCGACCCCCCCCTCGATACAATAACCGAGTCCCCTAGTTCCTTACCGAAAAGTGACTACCGCGAACTTCTGAGATTTTCCAAAGCGTGTAAAAAGTTTACTAATCCGTCAATAATAATGATTAAAATTTGTTTCTCATTCTGGGGCTCGCTAGTTTATGTGTAATGAATACCAAGAGTCTACGTTTC